AATTGCTGTTTTCTTCATTTGTAGACAATATATTTTCATGTTTCGCTCCAATCGAGAACATGAAAAACCAAGTCAAAACGGGTCAGAATGAGAACTATTTGCTGTGCTTTTTCAGAATCCAAACAATAACTTAGTTTTTAAAACACTAAACAAACATACTATTTATGGTAAGCGTCGAAAATTATAAGCTCTAGGCTATACAGATAATACAGATAAAGCCTATACTCGTGGCTCTAAAACAAACAGTTTAATTTTATGCTGCCCAAATGCAGCCCTTTAAGGGATTTAAAAAGGTCTCTAGAACATTTCTAACTGATCGTGCAAAATTGCAATGCAATTTGTGTAAAATTCAATTTTGATGCTCAATATTTATACTTGTATTTATACAAGAAAAGGGAGAAAACAAGAAAATCACTTTGCTCTAATGGACCCTTTGCAGGTCACATGACTTTAATTGACCTCATTAAAAAAAGATAATTCACAGTGCCAAACAARCAAACATAAGTCTTCTCTGAAAGTTTTAAAATCGACTTGAAGATTTCAGGATTTCAGTTACATTCGTTGAAAATAACAAGGATTGAACTGACTCTTTACAACATGTGATTCAACGAGCTCATGTTTGCTGAGACCATCACAGAAAAAATGAATGTATATTCAGCATGTTCCCTGATGATCGAAAGAACATTTTGCCACTTTGAATCTTCCATAACTTTATGAACAAGAAAAACTGACAGATATTTCACGATCCACATTGGCGAAAAAAGAAGAAGTGTCATCACAAAGCAGTTGTACAAACATTTTGTCTTTATTTATGGTGTTAGTTTCCACCATTAATCAATATTCCTAATTTACCCCAATTATTAAACATCCAGACAGACTACACCAACACAAACTGCGCCTTCACCTTTCCATGACCCGATTGGTATTCCTGTGTAATTAGTTACCAGCCTATCCGCGATAGAGTTTGGAACGCCTGACGACTATAAATTTCAAACRACGCGGGAAATTTTATGTTCAAGTGTTAATAGTTCTGATTATGGCGSATTCCAACTGGCAAATTGGTCTTTCTACCATCAGAGAACGTGCTAAATATGCTTTCAATAATTCTTTGTTCTGTGATGTCGAGTTCTTGGTTGYTGACAGCGATGGAGACAAAGTCACCATGTCAGCCAACAAGTTTATCCTGGCTGTGACTAGTCCTGTGTTTGGCGCCATGTTTTATGGACAACTATCTGAATCCAAATCACCCATCGAACTACCAGATTGCACCAAGGAAGGGTTTCAAGAACTTCTTCGCTTTGCTTACTCCGAAGAAGTGAACTTATCTGGTGTAAATCTAATGGAAGTCATGTATCTCGCTGATAAATATATGATTCCTTCTTTGGCTGATAAATGTAGAGGATATTTCAAGAAAAAGGTCCGGCCACAAAACGTRTTTCTTCTGTTACCAGAGGTCTCAAAACTGAACAACAAGGCATACGAAGAATTGTGTTGGGACGTAATTGACAGAGAAACCAAACAAGCTGTCCTTTCGCCATCATTCCTTGACATCTCCCATSAATTACTTTGTCAAGTTTTGAGTCGAGACAGTCTGAGAGTTAAAGAGGTAGTGTTGTTTGAAGCTGTTGATGGGTTTGCATCAAAGAGGATAAGAGAGAACRAAYTGGAGAGCAACTGTGAAACTAAGCGAGCAGTTCTTGGTGAARAGGCCATAAAACTGATAAGATTTCTTTTGATGTCCCAGAAAGAGTTTGCCGAAGCTGTTTTGCCTACAGAAATCCTGAAAATGAGTGAAGTTACAGAAATAATTCAGACTTTCAGTAAGTTACCAGTACTAACAATGAATTTTTCAAGGAGAAARCGACAAGCTAAAGATAGACTGATAATACCAGCCAATCGGTTTGACACCAACTTGGAAGAGACTGTAAAAAATAAAGGATATCAGACTGCTCTTTTCTTTACAGTTAACAAGCCAGTTAACCTTAATGGTYTTAGGATGTTTGGTAGTGTTGGCTGTACCTATAATGTTAATGTTAGTGTTCTATCACACAATGGTGGTCCCAAAGTGAACCGAAAAAATGAAATGCACCGAGAAAACATGATGATGGAAGTTGAAGAGGGAAAAATTGACGATCATTTCCACGGATTTACTGCTTCCTTSTCCCAGCCAATCACCTTGTTTCCTGATCAATGTTATGTCATTTTCATTTCTGTACAAGATCCTGGAAAACAACCTACACTGTTAACATTTGGTTGCAATGCAAGGCCTGTTGTTTATTGTGAAGATTTAGAAGTTTCCTTTGAAAATGCACTGTGTAAGACAACTCTATTGTCACAGGAATCATATACCAGTATACCAAAAATTGAAGGTGGCCAGATCCAGTCATTTATATTTACAAAGGTAAATTGAATATTTACTATTTTGATAACATGATTTTGTTCATGCGAAAAAAACCTGTCAAGAGATTGGTAATGATTGCAAGTTAGAAAATTTGCTATACTTTTTTAATTGTAGCTATTTTGAATAAAGCTTTTGTTCAGTATGATAAAAAAAATTTCACCTTTTGAGTGTGGAATGCAGTACTACTGATTAAAACACCTTTCACTCAAAACATGATTCAGAATTATTTTTTTTTTGGGGGGGGGGGGGGGGGCACTAGACAGATGTTGAAAACTTCCAGAATTTTTATATGTAATAGGACTCAATGCTCAATGCTATCCAATAAAGAAATAATTCGACAATGAAAATTCTTAGTAGTGCAAAAATTAGGCCAAATCCATTGTGGCATTCAGAGGAATTTTTTTTGAGTATTTGACAGTATGGAGTTTTAATACCTATTAATAATATCCACATATTATTCCTAACTGTTCAATTAAGAAAATAAGAGATGCTTTTTGAGGATTAATAAGTGGATAAATGGATGTAAATGGACTGTCTTACACCCCAACTATAGCCATGCAGATCATCCATGAATGAGCATCTATAAGAAGTGAGATAAGGCTAGACTGAGAAGTAAATTACACATGACATGTACTCTTTATGCAAAAATAAGCCTATCGTGTCCATTTGAAAAAACAATTCATTCAAGAAAATGGGGGCAACATATTCACTATCTTGAAATTGACATGAAGTTAATTGTGTGTAATGGTAATAAAGTTTAGCCTTGTTAAATGTCAGCAGTCTCTGGACCACAAAGAGTATACTGTTGTAAATACTTATTTCCTCAGTAGCCATAGTTAACTATGGTAATGTGTTAAGTATTTATTGCATACTGAACATCATTTTCAATTCTTTATTTTTGGGAACATGATAAAGAAATATAATTAAGTTACATGAATACTTATATGAATGAATTCAGTCTTTACAGCTATAAGAAAACATTGGGTTCAGAATACTACACTTCATTCAAAGACCACAAGGCATTGTKGCAATTTAAGTCCATGTTAGCTGTGTTATCAAATAAAATGACAGTACAAACTTATTGCTTCCCATCCAAGTTTTGATTGTGTGGAACTGATATTRTCACCYTGAAACCACGAAAACTCTATTTGAAYGGYAATAGCACGACTAACAATGCATTTTGGTCTYGGAATGTGYTTAGTATTCAACAAGAAATTGTCAGTCTGTCTTTGTTATTTATGTTTGCTCAACAGAAGCACAAAATAGGAATGATTATGCTATACAAAGCTGTACATGTTCTTTTTTGGCAAAATAGATGGTCCACCTTTTCCGGTTTCACCCTTTTTTACTCTATTAGTAATGAAAGCTTGCATCCACTCAAAGTTTAATGAGGTCTATCATAGTCACCACTGATATGCTTCAACTCTATGGCTCCAATTCTGATAATTTGAACTCAATTTTTTAAATAGTACAATTTACATCATTTGCAATTCATATATTCTATGAATCAGCTGAATGCTTGCAATCAACTGTCACTTTAAGAAAGAGAATGTTGTCCTTGATGTAGCCYGTTGACTCTAATCCACGATGTGAAACAAACTGAGGATAACCAAAACCCAACGATGCAGAATTCTTGGACGGACGTTGGAAACTTTTCCAGTTTGGATCTGGGCTAAACGATTGGCTGATATCCCGACGAGCCCTGCGGTCTTCACTCTGATCCATTAGAGTGAGAGTAATTTCTCCCTCGAAAGGCCAACGAAGAAGCGAATCGTACTCCCCCGGTAAAAGACGAACATACAGAGATAAGTGTGTTCCTTCTCCACTGCCATTTCCATAGGGAAACAACACAATCTTGAATTTATAGCCATAATTTGACGTATATAACACTGGGCTTTTCAACTCAAAGCCTGGTTTTTCTTTTCCTTCATTAAARCGTTCCCAGAAATTCTCGATTCTCCAGATCAGCTTGCTRTTGTGGTAGGGYTTACAGTGTTGAACTATTTCTTCGAGTGAATCGATTTGTTTTTGTTGTTTGATGGCCAGGTCAGACACGAGTTCAAGGTGCTTGTGGACGTGGTCATTTAAATGTCGTTCAAGGCCGCGCTGAGGAATCTATGGAAACAATTACAAAACACAGTTAATTCCATGTCTGGTAAATCTACAATGTCCACGGTATATGGCAGRTAGTTTAGAACTTTACCCAAAATAGCAACTCATGCCCAAACATACAGCCATTCTAGAGAAGTTTTCAAATACAAAGCCAATTTCAAGCCTCCTTTAGTGGCGCGGTTAAATTTAGAATCATGCCGAGCATATATTACTAAGGGAATTTATAATATTATAAGGTACAKCGGTATGTGTTACAATATTAAATGCCAACTGAACAAAAAATTGGAAAATATTAAATTAAATTTGTTACTTTATCATGCTTTTATCAAAAGCACATCGTATTTTACCTGCTGTGTACATCCCGCGTGATGAAAAGGACAAGATACAACATTAGAGTGACAGTCATTTGTTAAATGCCTACTGACCTACGACACAAGACAGAAGAATCATGATTGACTTCGCTGCACTGATTACAATACCGGGTATATCTGCAAGTAATGTACTSACCTCACTTCGCGGTATCTGAGCAACACCACAGTTATTCGGACAACTAAGTGGAAACGATGGGCACATCTGRTGATGAGTCTAAAATTGCAAAACATTGCGTAATTATTTAAGACTCTTGTGGCATGGCACTTGACAGTAGCGATCAGCTCAAATGGTTTCAGTAACAGCCTTGTCATTAACCGGCAATATTGTCGTTAAGAAATACCAATCGGGGTTATACTATTCTTTGCACAAGCTCTCGGTTGAGAAGCACGAAATATTACGAGACGATCAATCTTTCACCTTCACCTACCTGCATGTCTTCAAACTTGATTTGATTTCCACAATGCTGACACCTTGTGAGTCTGCGCGGACACTCGTCGGACATGTGGCTGGTAATCTGTCCTCTTAATATACGCCTCCCACAYGTACAAGTGAAGACATCTGARTCTAGCTCTTCAGTCGACCTACTCATCATGTGRTCACGAGACGATCCACGATAAAACGCTTGGCTTCCAAACACATCTCCTTCAYCACGTCCRATTTGATTGAGAGAAGCTGGGAATGACACTGATCGGTAAGGTGGTGCCGARGTACTTGGAATAGCTTGGACATTGGAGCGAGTTCTTTCTCTGTTACGGACATTGTGTAAATCAAATCGCACKGCGTTGTGAGTAACAGTACTTGGTGACCGTTTTGTACCTCCACGTGGTGCGGCACTTGTTKGACGGGCATTGTAAGCACGACATCTACTCAGATGTTCCTGATTAAAACCAAAAACACAGTTAAATGTACAACCAACTGTTATGCTGTTAAACCGTAAAGACAGTAGGAAAAAAATAACAATACAAGATAATGCAGTTCAACTAATTATGRATTGTAAACAAAAACAACAAGACTKARCGTACCTGTCTATCTTTGWAAACTACTTCTGTTCCACAATGCTGACAATATATCCAYCGATTCTGACACTCAGAACGTAAATGCTGTGATTTGTCTTGCTTACGCATTCGCACACCACACCCTGTGGGGCACGTTACCATCTCTTCATAGCTCGGTCGTCGCTGGGTACAGCCATGGGACTGTATGTTGAAAGCAATATTAAAAGAACTATGAAATCATTATTTGTCATGAATCAAAGCGGGACTGAAAATTTCTCCAAGTTCAGCATGTAACTTCAGTAAAGTAACGAAGACATAGCTGTGCTGGTTGCCAACAACGTTATACGCACTAGACACGGATTGCATATCTCCAAAACCAGCAGCAAAATATAAATTTTTTTATGAATTCGAGGAATTATCCAATTGTCATTCAACTCAGTGTTAAGCAAACTGATTCCAAATAAAGCCAGCGACTGGATTCATACATGACCTKCTACTTGCATCTCAGATACTGAAAAAATCTTCCAACATACTTGTAGTCCCTTCTAGTGTACCAACAAATTTGGTTTAAATAATCATATTTCCTTACCCTCAGCTGYTCGTGCGATATTTCCCGTCGGCATTTTGAGCAGGTTACTCGACGTTTCGGGCAGTCGCGATGTGTATGCTCGTTCATTTTTCGTTTTTGTATTCGCTCACCACAGATATACGGACAGTCAGCTAAGACGTACTTACAGTCGTCGAGATGAGCCTAAATAGCGACACAATTCAATCAAAATATTCARTCTAACAAACGAGACTAATAAACAAAATAATGATTKATCATCAACCAACCTTGAGTCTTTTGAGTTGTCCTTTCCACTTACAGCCTTCCTGGTATTGGTCACAAATGACGGTCAGGGACATGATCATCTGATTAGAGACATCATCGGCGTAAATCTGGAAAAATCAAATGACGTCATATAGGGCGTTTTATCGATCTGAAGGGTCTTATAGTCCCTATTATTAGGTGARCGTAGCCACTGATAAGATACTATCGCAGTAATATGGCGGGATATTTCCAAACCCAGTCAGGTCAAGACACTTGAGACACTTTCTATGGCAACCGTGTTCATATTTCAGGCATTTCACTGATAAGAAGTAAATATCAAAGTGATGCTTGACTTGACGCTATAGTTTCGACCCTAACAAGCCTTAAAACTGATCCCTTGCACTTGCAACAAATAAGGAGGYGAAGTGAAACTTTGATCTATGCTTTGGAAACACGAAGATCTCAAGTCAAAAACCATGAATCAGTACTCCGTTTGAATAGTGAAGTGTCCTTTGTCTCGTCCTGTCGGATTTCCATTCCGGATGCCACCTTATTCTCGTTTACATCAGAACGTTGAAGCTTGACATGTTCAGACGGGATGTTTACCCAGCATTTCATGAAAAAAGCTATTTTCTCTCTCCTCAAAAGATAATTGTTAACGCTGAGAGACATACACATACTTTTCATGTTTGAGAAGGGTGTAAAAAGGTGTACTGTTTGAGCGGATGTACTTTCGAAAGTTTCCGCAGGAAAACGACAAACACTAAAAAATGAAAAACACAGCTACGGTCTTGATGTTAGATTACACGCAGTWTATTTGTTGCTCATTTTCTACATTCTGCTTATCAAATCATTGGAGAATTGCATAGTTTTCCCTTTCATTGCCAAATTTTGCAGTTTAGGTAGCGCGCCATAGGTAGGCCAGATAGAAACCTGAACCCGTTATCTACAAGAAGCGTTCTCTTCGTTCGCCGTGTTCTTGTCTTACCTGACTATAATCGATACTTGAACTATCCACTGGACATTTCAGTCTCCCACTCCTGTGTGAAGAACAATCCATTGATCAGTACTAACTAGCGAACTCTACTAAGTCGACAACAAAGACGTTCAAACGACCTTAACAATAGAAAAACGCATGCCATTAATGTCTWATCTTATCTGAATTGATTGGCATTGATTAAATAAATAATTCTTCTAGAGTGTCACCATCTGGAGARGCTGAGATATTTCAAAGATATAGCGGCATCATGAGCTTAGAAAAACGTTTGATAAACACAGGGAACAATACTGCTGAATCGTTGCAATGTGACTTCACAACAAACTATATTAAATGCATTCGTATTTGAACGAAATGTTTCAAGCTACGTAATAATCGAGGCTTGTGACCTTTAAAAAAAGAACTATCAACAGCTATCTCACAGCCTTGAGTCAACAAGACCAACAAAGACCAGAATATACAAATCGTTTATGCCACAAAATAGTAAACATTTCAACTCGAAACACTGAATTTTTGGTGACACGGCAATTAACACGCTTCTTGACAAAATGCATCATCATCATCATCATCATCATCACATGTGAACGAGGATAAATATTCGATTGAAATTGTCGCCATGCCAGCAACAAATCTTTTTTCATTAGCATATATTCTGGTGCGCGATGTTTGGTTGTGATGACAGATTCTAGTCTTCTGGTAAGCTCTACTGTTCAACTATCATAAGACGATTAATACATGCATGCATACACGAGTCATTGTGACGTTTCAGTCAAATAGCACAGGCAATTCGTGATGTCAGAGTTAAGCCAATGACATGCCATACGCAATACCATTTAGTCACATAATCACGCTAATCGGACAGTCTTTTTATGCCGAGGCAAGCCGGGACAAGTCTGAAGAAGCCGAAAAGTGCCGGATGTGTTTCCTTTCGGGACGGCAGTTCACTATCTCATGTGAACCGCCCACACACAAGGGACCTTGCTATCTTGAGCCGTTAATCATTGAGATAATAATCTGTTGTATCAAGAAAGCAAGGTGGCTAGAAAAAGGATTAACGATTCTATAGAGAAAAGGGAACATGTATGATCGGACACCACCGTTTCACCGGCGGAAACGGGAGGGGGAGGGGGAGAGTAAGGAACAGTTACTTCATCCTTTTTGTGTCATCAACTAAAGATATTTTCAATAAATTTTTCATTGTTTTAAACAGCGTTTTTTCTGCTTGAAACGATGBGCAAGCAACATCTTCACTTGCAGCAGATGGCATCCAGTTAGAGGGCTTGCTTAAAGTTCTTTTTAAATGTAGAAAATAGCACAAGAATCTATCCTAAAATTGATCTACAATCGTTATATTCACACAATACAGAACAATTCTTTGTGTTTGTCTTACTGTCGATCATATTGTCTGATGCAACATATTAATGGTCAGAGAAACTAGTATAAACGAAACAGTTTATAATTTTCTCAAGCAAGCATCTTGTTTTCATGTTTCAGCGTCAAATACGTATTGCTTTGTTRTAGGATAAAGTACAAACCAAGAAGAAAAATGTCACCGAAATAGACTTAACGATGCGTGAGACTGAATCAAGAATGGTCTGAATATGAAATGCCTGTAAAAGTCAGATTGTAAAAGTTTATAGAAAGTAAACTCTTGCCAGGCATTGAGAATAGAACTCAAAATGACCAGGTACCACAGTAACTTATGAATCAAAGATAGAAAGATAAAACACTGAACTTACCAACAATATCGTTGCACATCTGACGAATCGATGCGTGAAAACTCGATTATTATTCAAAACATTATATATTGGACAGTGGGAGAGAACGTCCCAGTCAGTCAACGTTGACGATTATATTATTATTATTTACTGACCTTTGAACTATTTTAATAGATAGAAATGGGAAATTAAAAAGAATGGTAATGCTGAAAAGAATGAAACGAGGTTTTCGTAGTTTGGCTTATTACCTTTTTTTATCTTKTGTTTTTGTTTTTCCAGTAAATGAGGCAATGTCTTTCATTTTGCAATAAACTGACCCTTTATCAAAATGCCCCCTACTTATTAACATAATTAGTTTTTGTGTTTCCCTTTTTTTGARGGGGGAGTTGTTTTTAATATATTGATTTACTCTTTYCTCAACCCTAGTTAAAATGAACCCTGCAGCACCCAACCCAACATGATATATTCACCACTACATTGATCTTTGAGATAGCACTTTTATGTTTTCGCAGAAAAAAAATAGTTTTTTTGGGAGGAGGGTTTTCAGAGTAACTATACCAGCTCCGTACTATCAAGAACTTCAATAAGAAATTGATTAATTTTAGAAATGCTTAAGTGGGGCTTTGAAAGCAACAATGCATTGCGGTCTTGGAATAGCAGTACTGCATAGTTTTTAGTATTCGACATTTTCTGAAATAGGTAAAACCCTATATAAATTGAAAGTCCATAACAATAACAGTGATCCTGTTCACTGTCTTTTTTACCCAAGTGACAAAGGTAATAGGGGGAAGGAAGTGAGGGGGGGGGTTGACCAAAATGAACAAAAAGACAAAATGTTATGATCTCACAAATCACATGTGCTACCTGGTTGTAAACATGTACAATAATATATTCAYTAATACAATGCACACATTGAGGCTTAATTCAACTTAATCCACACATTCAAAAGGACCAAATCTTTACCTAAATTTAACCATTTTGGAATTTAACTCTCTGTTGACAATAGGGATTTACTGGCGATGCTTATGTACTTGYATTATACCTTGCGGTAACACAAAACCCTAGTTTTCTACAATAAAGCAATCACAGGAAATTCTATAAATAGTTTTTACCCACTAAAGATTAGTTTATGTAAAAAAATATGAATATAATGACACTTCTAAGCTGGGAAAATTAAAAGTGTCAAAACATGCAAAAGTAATTTGCATAGTCAATGGCAACATTGAATATAATTTGTATCTATTCCTCGCTCAAAAAAACTACATTGCTGCAAACGTATGCATAGATTAATATCAAGATCAAAAGACATTCTACTTAATCTATAATAAATTTAAAAAAAACTTCTGTGCTGAAAGCATCGCTTCAAAACTAGTAGGGCTGCTCCTTTAGAATTTATATTTTCATGGCAATTAYAACCCCCTAATGATGTAGAGCCAGATGATAGCAATCTACAAGTATTTGTTATTGTTAAACTTTAGTAAAGGCTCACTAATTTTTCTGGTTTTTTTTCATGCGATGCTATAGGTACCATTCATCAAGGATCCTAGCCACCGTTGATGCTTTGCGCTTTTGTCTCACATTCGCCAAATTTGGCATAAAATTTGATTTGAAATTATTTGTATCCGTGTAAAATAAATTTAGTGTGGCAAAACTCGTGGAAGGCAATGTATTAGTACTGCGACTAGAAARTGAAAAAAGTCAAAATGAAATCAAATAAAAATAAAGAAGGGATCATTTTAAAGTGTAAGTCAATCGAGAAATGCAATTTTGATCGCATTTTCTCGGTTGTAAACATTCTAACATTATCAAATGCAMCAATYACATTTTATTGAAAACCATCTACAACACTCGCATACTAAGTTAGAAAGCCAGTAATTTCAGAATAGTGACTTTATATATTAAATTAAAAGCCAGGCCATCATAATTCAGAACCGTTGCTTATGCAAACTTTAAACGGATCTTAGTAGAGAGTATAAAGTTTCCAAAGGTAWAATATGGCCGAACAAGGCTTCACGTTATCTAAATATTGCATTAGATTTTAATATTCCCTAGCAAATTGATAGGAACTTAAGACAGCTATTATTAAACTTACCTCATATCACTTAGAGATGTATTTAAACATGAATCGCAAAAACGATGTCCACATACTGAGATTTGAACAGCATTACGAGCTGGAAGATGGCAGATTCTACACAGTAAATTTTCACTTACAGCGGGTATAAAATAGGACCTATGTCCAGTCATTTTRACCGTCTTAGGATATCTAATGGTCAAGAGGTGCCGGTTTGAGTAACCATCTGATTCTAGKTTACTATTCCTCGAATGTAGCTTGAATGACAACACAAATTGTTTTCTGAATAATTAGTGTGACCGCAAGCGGTGTCACGCATGCGTGATAGCGGCGTTATGCGTGTGCGTGACGCTATCGATGAAAAATCTCAAGAAGAATTCAAATGATGATGTGAGTCGAGATGACARTTTGGAAAAGTTGTTTATTTTTTAGGATAACATTACTGTGTCTTGAGAAGATAATTACCTTTTAATCTCCCCTAAAATTAGCGTTCATTCCAGCGTTGAAAAGACTTGAAATTTAAGTAAACTTTGTCCTGGGCGGCGCTCAAAGACATGAGTCATTGTGACYAAAAAGCGACAAGCGCTGCAGGTTTCCTTCCGTCTTCATTGTCAACTTTAATCAGTTAATTCCATAAAATTGGATTGTTCTGGTTGKATGAAGGTGTGCAAAAGAAATGTTTTACAAGCCCACACACAAAGCATTTTTATACAATCGAGGATTTTTGACTATGATTGAAATATTTCACCTGATTTTTTTTCCYGAAAACAGCATCAGTGCGACCATAATTAAGTGGCGTGTCTAAGAAAGACTTGATTCAGGGTTCACATTAGAGGAAATCTGGTTTGTGACACATTTTGCGACACAGGTTTGGTTGCACATTTACTGACAATTGTTGCCGATTTTAATGTTAAAATCGGACTTGGGAAATATCTTAAAGTAATTTCGACACGTTTGGGAAATGATAATTTTAATTAAAACTAAAAGTTGAAATTAACAGTCCGAGAATTTTGTTGATAAAAGTKCGATCTACGAGTCAATATCTTCTCAGAAGAAAGCCAAGCTTCCCCTACTATCATATCTTACTGAAGAATTTTAAAATGTAAAATGACGTAGTGTAATTTATCGTGACGTCATAGTGCAGGACGGGAATCARCCTCTACCATGCGAATTTGGACTTTACTTCCACTGTAAAAGAAGTCTGGATGGTATCAATGGCCAAGTTCTCTTCCATGCACGTTTTTTCTTTAATTTGTTCTCAGTGCTCAGTTAATAAGTTAACCCAAAACAAACATACCAATTTGATCGAGTGAAAGATTGTCGGCAAAGATCATACGTTAAAAGGTCACGAATCGAATCTCTACCGCATTTGTTTTTGTTGCAATTACTTACTACCGAATGATGATTGACTTTAAAAAAGTTGATTGCCGTCATGTTTTTGTTTCGGCTGCCAAAATAAGTTAGAGTACTGCGAACTTTCTTGTTTCATCGATGAGAACAATTTCGTTATTTTAAAGAAAGACGTCACTACAGTCCAGTCTGGCATGCTTTTGCTTTTGTACCATAGACAGCAATATGGTTTTGCCCCTACTCTTCACTGTACTACGAATTTCCATTAACGACTCTATGATAAACTCGGAGGGGAATTGCAGCATTGCTTCAGGTGCTTAGCGTGGACTTTTTGTCTAGTACGCATGTTATGGAGCGCGACACATATTATGGATTGGGGGGATAGCGACCGCCGAACACGGGAGTATTAAGGGGGGTCTGGGTGACCTCCCCAGAAAATTTTGAAATAATAACTCTTGGAAATGCGATTCCCAGCGTTTTGAGGTTGTTTTTGATAACGAAGCATTGGTTGGAGAAAGCGAGCAAAGACAATTATATTTAAAAAAAATCCCGAAAATTTTAATATTTCCTTGCCACTAGTACGCATGTGCGTATATGCGTAACGGACGCTACGCGCCTGTGCTTTCTAAGATCACGTACGTGAGATATGATGTCACATAAATAAGATGCATTTTAATGCATTAAAAAACGATGTAATGCACGATGTAGGGTACTAGAGTATAGTTGTATTGTTTGTAGAGTGCCAGGAAATGAGTTTTTTGTTGAGTTTTGGGATCAGATTCAAATTAGAGAAAGKTCTTACTCCCCTGTCTTTTCTTCACTAATTAACTTGGACGTTACTCCCACTCGTCACAAGTTTAGACTATTCCCCCCTTCTGGATCTCAACCCCTTCCCCTCCCCCTTATGATTATTGCGCAAGCGTCCCTAATGATCAAAACTGCATACTCACGGTATACCTGTCGCTCTTTGTCAACTTTTTGGAAGAAGCACAATACCTGATCGAACAGTTGCTTCTCTCACTTTTCAAGAGGTACCAAAGCATCAAGGAAGAAGCTCGAACTGACGTTATTTGTCCTTCCCTTTGTCAGGGAGCCGAGCAGAGTTGGTAGTGTAGGTCTGCTTCTATGGCAAAGTATGTATTTAGGAAGATGACATTGTCAGCATTGTCAAGCATGTCGAGATTAAAAGCTTTTGTCGTATATTTTAATGCATAATCATTCTTATTTATGTACATATTTCATTTAATRGCCATTTGCCCGTTGGCATCATTTTTCAAATTACTACAACACTGTCTATTTTTCTTCTCTTTCAAATTCTAATCCCTTTCAAGTAACACTTATTACGTATCAGTCAATCTAKTGGAACTAACCTTATCAACAAAGAAAGAAAATTCTAGTATTATGATAACAATCGTTCGTGAAGACGTTTGAAAAGTAAGATMCACTCAATGTAATGATGTCATGYATTTTTGAAAATTCGTGTCCATTTTTTTATCTAGAAACTACATGAAGGCGTGTCTGGTCGCACTTTAGCTGTAGTACACGATGAATGAAATGTCGTTCCATGAAGGAGGTCTATTTCGTGYATTTGATGTAACAAATATGTGACCRTTTTCGATAAATGATTAATGAACACCACATTCAACAGAATTAAAACTTCCATTGGCTTMTTTTGCAGTAATTGCGAGGACTCAGTCAGGGAGCGGTAATTCACGGTGAATCGAGAAAGWAATYTTTAATGTCCAATCAGCACTGTTACAATATAAGCTGAGATGCCTACCGGGACAGGTGTTGTTTAATACAAGAATTAATTAATTTAAAGTGATTCACAGTTATCACCAAGCAACGTTAAATGTTTCATACAATTCTGCAGTTGCAAAACGCTCATTGAGATTATTGATTCATTGTCGTGTTGGGATCTAGAAGTGCAAATAATAATGTCGTTCATAATCGGTTAGGCGTGAATTGGACGTAATATTTCAACACAATACAAAGGACATTTTACGACGCCAGTGTGACATTGGTCATTGAACTGAGCACCACAAAAAATAAATCACTTCGAAAATCCATATTGACTTACAGGGACAAAAATCATTTGGATCAGGAACAAGGGATGGCAAGTATCGTCAACTAATTACAGCGCCATGAATTCAACAGAGCAGCCTGTTGTTCTAATCTTTCACAGTGCATTTGTGGCTACCTCTGTCTTTTGCTTCGTCAGCACCATTCTCATTTGTGTCGGAACCTCGACAGTGCTGTACGCTATCATCAGGAATCCCAGACGCGATCTA